AATTGAGAAGAAGGAAATATGCTCCATAAAAACAACATGACGAGAGACATAAAGTTTGCGGGTGATGGGATCATAGCAACGATACCCTTTTTGACCCTCACCATAACCAAGAAATACACATAAAGCTAAACAAATAAAAAGTTTGGTATGAAGAACACTAGGGAGTAAAACAAAACAAGTACAACCAAACACACGTAAAGAAAAATAGTTAGGTGGCTTACCACATAACTTTTCAAATGGAGAGACTCCAGAGGTAAGCATAGTAGGAATGATGTTGATTAAATGAACTGCTGTCAAAACTGTTTCCCCCAAAATGAGCTGAGAACATATGCTGATAAAAGAAGGGAACATGTTGTCTCTAGAATATGACGGTGTTTTCGTTCGGCAACACCATTCTGCTCAGGTGTGTCAGTGCAAGAAGATTGATAAAGTGTACCATCAGATTTCAACAGATCATGAAAAGAAGTAAGAGTATATTCACCGCCCTGATCACATCAAAAATATTTAATGACTGCGGAATATTGAGTGCGTACCATGTTACGAAAGGTAGTAAAGATAGAAAAAAATTCAGACTGACGTTTCATCAAGAATACCTAACAGTACCTCATGTAATCATCAATAAATGAAACATAATATTTGGACTCTCCTTGTGTAGGAATAGGAGTCGATCCCCATATATCAGAGTGAACAAGATCAAATGGTGTAAGAGAAAAAGTAACCTTTTATTGAATGACAATGCATTAAATTTAGCCAACTTGCATCCACTACAATCAGAAATGTCATGGCTTTCTAAACTACCCAAACTACCAGTAGAAACTAAAAATTTTAAACGAGAATAAGAAACATGACCAATACGAGAATGTTATAAATAAAAATTAGATGACTTTGGACTCAAACGAAAAGAAGATAAATCAAAGTAGAAGCAGTAGCATCAGCAACTGGGACATGCAGCTCCTTCAACACATATAACCCGCCCTGTCTACAACCAGTCCCAATTTGCTTCTTGGACCGTGGATCCTGCACAACACAACCAGAGGAAGAGAAATGAACCAAAAATCTAGAATTAAATAGTTGACTGACTGAAAGTAAATTCAAAGTAAGTTGAAGAATATAATAGACATCGAAAAGTGTAATGTGGGAACAAATAATTGTCCCAACACCAGCTAATGCCATGTGAGAACCATTGGCAACAAGCACAGATAAAGAGGGAAGAGAAACAATAGATGCAAACAAAGAGGAGTCACTGGTCATATGATGTGTTACACCTGAGTCAAAGACCCAGGCAGTTTGAGAAATACCTAAAGGACCTGAGCTGAATGAACCTATAATGGGAGAAACTGTGAGAGCACCAGGCTGATGAAGAGAGAGAAACTTCTGTAGCTGATCTGCAAGCATAGTTAGGTTGGGAGCTGATGAAGCTGACTCATCCACTGGTGGCGCTACGGCCGTTGTATGACAATCTCTAGACCTAAATGACTGATTTTGAGATCCTCGTGTATTCTTGTTCATTAACTTTGGATATTGGGCCTTCTAGTGGCACTTTTCACGACAGAAGTTACACTCATCAGAAACAACTCAACCTTGATATTTATTTTGGGAATTAGAGGCCACTTTGGAAAGAACAGTCAAGATAGTCTGATTTGGTAGTGGAAGAAGACCCTTTCCAGAAAGGGTTTTAAGGCGAACCTCTTCAGCTAAGATCTCATTAACAACATCATCCACTGAGGGGAGTGAGTGATGATGAAGAATGGAACCACGAAGTCCCTCGAAGTCATCCCTAAGGGCCATCAAGAGTTGCACCAGCCTTTATTCCTCTCTGAAGGTGCGATATGCCAGATTAGTGTTCAACTCAGTGGGTTCAATAAGTGCTTACTGATCCTAGAAGCCAGTCATAACAGAGTAGAATTCTTGGATGATTTTGTCCTCTTGTTGCGCATCTCGAATCTCATGCTCTAGTTGATACCTCTTTACAAAATTAGACTGAACAAAGTGTAGCCAAATAATCCTAAATTTCTTTAGCAGTTGTATACTTTGATAGATGAACCTCAATGGTCTGATCAACTGAGTTATTAATTCAGGTGATAATTTTCGCATTATTGATATCTCAAGTACTCTTCAAATCAGCATAATTTTTTGCCTTAGCATCAGTTGGAGGCTGTACAACACCACTAATATAATTTCACATGTCTTTCCCCAACAAATTTTTTTTCATAATATAAACTCAATAAACATAATTTCCACTAATTAGTCTCACACTAATGGCTTGAAGTGAATCAGAGTGATCACTTGCCATTGTAGTAACAATTATCAATATGCAACACAGTTAAATTCAAACTCAGTAGCCCAAAGAAGCAATAACACCAAATAAGCAAAAAACCCAGCAGAGCAAAAAACCAACTACCGAAACAAGCAAAAATCCAGAGTGCCAAAATAGGCCAACCAAATCAAACTGCCGTAGCACTACCAGTCCAGAACGCCGAAGCCACAACAAGAAAATAGCAACAATCCAACAACCCAGGCACAATCCAGCAAATTAAATCAATAAACAACTAGAGAGTATCAATCACAAACCAATCGGTGCACTGTGAAGGCATTGTCAAGCCAAGAGAACATAAGAGACTAAGCCAGTCGGTGCACATGCACTTGGAACCAGTCAAGTCGAGAAAACAGCGGAGAAAAGACAGTTGGTGCACTTGGAACCAGTCAAGCCAAGGAACAGAGGAGAGGAGGCAGTTGGTACACCGAACAAGTTTAGTCAGTGCACTTGGAACCAGTCAAGCCAAGGAAGCAGAGAAGAGGAGGCAGTCGGTACACCGAACACGTTCAGACCAACCAAATCTCATCCCAAATGGTTGGTTATCGTCGGTGGTCTTTTTCTAGACTTCAATCATGTATATTATTTGGGTTTAGGGATCATAACATGCTTTGATACCATGTTAGAATTGATCAATGAGAATAGAGAAGAGAAAAAAAGAATAAATTATTCATTGTAATTCACAACTCAACCTAGAAATACACAAAGTAACCTTTATATAGTAGAGCAACACAACATAAAAAAAATGCCTAAACTACTCTTATTATGAATACTTTAACAAGTTTGACCAATACTCTCTTTGTGACATCCACACTAGAAGTGATAGTGGTGGAGGGATGATAGTGGCAACAATAACGATGGTGATAGTAATGGTGGCAATTGTAATGTTATGATGGATGTGGTGGTGGTGGGAAAAAATGATGGTTATGGTAAAGTTAGTGGCCCTGGGTGATGGTGACAATGGTGGTGATAGAATTTGGTGGTAAAAGACAATGAATCAAGGGGAAGGGGGTGACGAGATGATGGTGGAGGGTGGTGACGACAATAGTGAAGTGTTGGTTATTATGACAGTGAGGAAAGACATTGGTGGTGTGGTGAGAGGGGGAAAAGAAAAATTAGAAATTAATAAATTTCAAGCTTCAACTAATCAAGCAATATTATACAATTCAATGCTTCAATTTAATAGATACCAAATAGTTCGTAGATTAAAAAAAAATCAACATTCAACATGCATTCAACTTGTAACACTTAATTTTCAGTTTTTTCAAACACCACCTAAGAAATAAAATTTTGGTCTTTAATTTAATAGAGACTAGTTCAGCGCCCCCCCCCCCCCCCCCCCCCATACACACTTCATCTATGGCGATGTTTGAACCTTACACTTCTATTGATAGGTGAAGCCTTAGTCATCCGGGCTATTAATTTTTCACATTTTTCATTAGATGCCTCATCATCATTAAAATGCCATGGTTTGTGAAATTATGTTAAGTGAATTGAGAAATTGGATACAAAAACAGGTTTGCTTGACAAATTTTCCCAAGAGAGGTGACACTGGTTGTCGGTTGAGCAGGTTTTAGAGAATAACTTGGGCTCAAGCCATGTTTTAAAATTGTCAAATTGAACCCTATTTAACTCAGAATCATTGAAACCAATCATTGTTATTTGTTGAAAATTTTAAATTTAGTTTAAAATCGAGTTCAATTTAAATTTAATTACGTGTTACAAAATTTGAACTGAGATTCGAGTTTACTTGGGTTTAGTTTGGGTTTAAGTCTCTCATTATAAACTTGCAAAAAAAAATCTTGCATAACACACGTCAAACTAAATTCAGATTCAATTTCAAGTTGAATTACACGTTACAGTTTTGTTGAGTGTATAGTTTGAGTTGGGCTTAGTGTAAATGAAAACCTCTGATCCAACCAGAGCATTGTTAGAATTTAAATCGAATAGAAATTTTTTGCGTAAGTTCAACCAACTATCAAAACTGTCTAACCAAAACTTTCAAGTTGGACACAAGCAGAGTTGGTCAAAATAAATTGTTTTGGAAAGTTTTGGGTAAGGGCATCTTCAAACTTTATTCAAATTTACACTCAAATTTAAATTTGAGTAAAAAAATTTAAAAAATTTGCTCCAACTTTTAACTCAAACTTATATTAAATTAAAAAACTCATTTTTTTACTCAAATCATGGAAGACTCAAATCTTTAATAGTGAGATTTCACAATCTTTTAAAGATTCAATGGTCATCTTTACACCCTTTTAAATTTGGGTCTCTTATTCTTTAAATTTGAATTTGTCCATTAGAGTTCTTTATATAAAATCAAATTTTTTACTCAGATATTAATTTAAATTTAAGTAAAAATTTAAATCATAGTTAAAAACGCTCTCATAAATATTCCTGTGATCTTTACCAAATAGTCCTACTTCTACTTAATTTAAATCTTGTTTTACTTTCAAATTTTAAAACCCCAACGGCTAGCAAAAATCCAAAAGCCATTTTGCCCATGCAGAGTACACGTGCCAGAATTCCACTATCTCCCAAAAACGTTCACCTTCTATATTCTCTTCACTTTCCCTCCCAAAATTAAATTTCGAAAATACACACTTTTACACCGTAAAAATACACTCAAAATACAGTAGCTTCAATCACGCACTCTCTCTCTCTCTCCCATGGAAGACGACGAAGAATGTGGCTTCGACTCCGCTTTAGCTGCTCAGTCGCCGGCTCTGGTCACGCTCTCTCCATTCTCGCCTTCCATCGCGCACTCCACGCGCCGGCTCTCGAGTTGTTTCACAGAACCAAGACGACCAATAAGAGCTTCAAGACAGCTGGCTTGGGTCTCTCTTCAGGTCGACTCGTCGGTGCCGAAGAAGCCAGCTCGGCTAAGACTATAGGTGGTAATTTGAGGCCCGAAGAAGCCGTGGCTTGGGAGCTTTTCAGCCCCATTCATCGGATTCTTATAGTTGCTGTCGTTGCCGTCGCCGCCGCCAATTCGAAGAAAAATAAACAGATTTGTCAGCTCAAAAATCTGTTGAACTTAGGGTTAGTAAACTTTCTTTTTTAATTCTTCAATTTTTTTAATGTCATTTGTATTTATTGACGGGTTCTGTAAATGTTTTTGCGGTTAGCAATTATTGTCAGCTTTATGTGAGTAGGGCTTGTAATATTAATTAGTTTTGGATTTAGTATCTGTTTATTGTGGATTTAATTCAATGTATTTATATGCGTTAGAGTTTCGGGTGTTTAATGGTTCTAATTTCTGGGTTTGTTTAATACAAATGAGTATGCACTTATTAGATGTTATTACGCTCAAGATTTTCAACTTCTGCATTGAGTAACACTATCAAAAAATAAGTGATCACGTCAAGGGTTTAAGTCATGGAAATAGACTCTTCGCATTCGAGGAAAACCCTCCCAGATCTGCAATAGTGAGAGCCTTATGCCTTGGGGCCCCTTTTCTTTTTAATTTTTAATTAATACCCTGGGAATGGTAGGTTTTGCTTAGCAAGATGCCATTTTGAGTTTCTTAAGTTCTTTTTTTTCTTTTTCATTATATGGGGATCCTTTTTGGCATTGTCAATTGTCTAGTTTATTGTAAGACATCGTAATTTGTGATTTTTTCTTAAATGCATTATCTCAACTTTAGAATTTTGCCCTTCAGTTATTGAAATCTCTAGTAAATATTCATATGCCTCAATAAGCTGTCAAGCCTGTTAACATTTGTTTTTATTCAATCTCCAGGATCAAGTGCTTTTGAGCATGCAACAGAAGCTAGACAAACTATGTGAACAGATGAACTATTTCAAAGATCAGCCAGAATGTGTCACTGGCTTATCTTTAACCAAGAAACTGGAATTGCCATTCCGTGAAGCTTCCTCTGATGAAAATTTATCTTTTGGATGTGGTTGTCAGCTGTGCGAGCAACATAAGCCTCCATCAAGTGACTCTGTTGTAAGAATTATTTTACAGCCAGTTTCTTTTTCTTGGGATGGCATTTCGGAATTACAGATGTTATTGACTATAGGTTGTGATTTCGACATCATTATAAGACCTAAGTTTGGTTGGCCATGAAATGCCTTTTTTTTTTTTTTTTTCTCAGGCTATTTCGGTTGTGAAAGCATCTGGTGGTGATGACATGTTCAAGTACAAAATCCCTCCTGCAAATGAGGCAGAACCAGAGGAGCGTCGCATGTCTGATTTGTCAGATTTGTCTCCTAGCATTTCCTCCTCAGTAGATATTCAGGTAATTGGATATTTAGAAGCATGTCTTATTTTGTAGATTTGGCATAGGTCTGCCAGTTATCATGGGTACTTGGACACAGAAGAATGTTGAGCTTTATGTAGCATCAGCTTGGTTTGGCTAGCCTTCCTTGTGGCTAGTAGTCTAGTATGATCTATGGACTCTATATGCCTACTCTTTTCTGAGAATTATTCTTTAGTAAACACCTCTGTGCCCACTAAAATAATAGGTTACACATTAGTTTCTATATTGTAGGAACTCGTGTTTGGTTGCTATTTGGGACCCTTTCTCCTTAGTTAATGGTTATAGCCAAAGGAGCCCCGAAAATTCTAAAAAATATCGTCATTAATATATGCCTTCAATAAGCATTACTATCTGTACTCATTAATAATGCTACAATCTGTTTGAATATATGGTTCATAGTTATTGATTTTCTTAGTGGAAGTGCAATCTTTTGCGAGAATGAGGTTATACATGGCCCATTAAGAGGCACTGGATGTTTTCTGTTATTCCAAGTATGTTTGATTGGAAGCGAGTCTGTAATTTTTAGGATGAATCGGAATCTGCAGATTATTTTCCAGTCCCAACCTTTGCACAACCTGGGTAATTATTAAAAATGGCTGTTGGTCTTACTAGCTAGATGATATTTAGTTTGTCGTTAGTGCGGAAATTTTGGCTAACAAATGGGGCCCTGATTTCTACTGGATCTAGCACTCTTTACTCCTTAATGGTGCGCCACTTTAGGAGGATGATGCAACCAAGCAAGTTATAATGCCGGGAATGTACAAGTCATGTGATTGTCCCTTATGCGAGATTACATAATTGGATTGGTCTGGGTCAATGTGTGTTTGCCTTGATGGAGAGGAGAGCTTTGCAATTGAATATTGAGCTTGGACCTTGGGAAATATAACCTCATTCTCTGCCGACAGTGCAGACTTCAGAGCTTAGTGTTCTTCGCCCTCTTTCTTCTTTCTCAGTTAACCCACATATCTCGTAAATGAATGTCAGCACTCTTAGTGCTGGGCTAGTGCTACAACACCTTTGGTCAGACCTTTAGTATTCTGATATTATAATGAATGATTTTTTTCTTGCATGGAGCCAATACTTGGCTCATTTAATTTTTTTTCATTTTCATTTTTACATACTTCCAACGTTATTTTATCTCTGTAACTATCAACCTGGTCATGTGAAAAGGAGGAACTCATATGGATTTAGTCTTTTGAGGATGTTCGGGATCAAACAATGTTTTTTTAAACCAAATTTGGGACAATGTTATTGTATGCTCTTGTGCTGATGTGGATAGTTTCGTCGATTAGAGCAGAAAAATGTTGAAATGTTCAGAGTGAAGATGGTTTTTGCCTTTCCTTTTTTCAAATTAATAAGCTTTCTCAATTACAAAAACCTCGATTTCGTGAATTAATCAGTAAGCTAGAGTAAGCTAGAGTAATTGAACAAGATATCTACAACCTGACACAAGTAATCTCACATTGTGTTTTTCTCGCAGTTGAATACATTAGCAATTGAACAAGATATCTACAACCTCCGCAAAGAATGTGAAGAAAAGGAAGCCACCATAAAGGAGCTGTCCATTTTTGTTCACTCATCTCAAGTTGTAGATTCAAAGGTATTATTTATTTTTATAGCAGTTAGAGTCTCCAATACAAAAGCATTGTCTCAGTCAGTTTTGGTCTTCTTTTTGCGTCTAACAGAGGATTGTGGAGTTAGAAGACATCATCCGAAGGAAGAATATGATCATTACAAAACTGAGGAAAGACATGTTGGTTCTTGAACAGAAGGTAAGAATGCCATCAAATCCTGATGGTATATGTTCAATGAAGTTCAACCACCATATACTATTGAGACAAAAGATGATGCAAATTTTAAAAAATAGAAGCCTGTGCAATCTTCATTTCTGACTTCAAATATTCCAGCACCGACAGCTTTTCTTCCTCTGCTTCCATTGAGAAACTTGACATTCTTGAATTACAGAAATGGAAATCAAGAAGATTTTGCCGCAGTTGTAAAGCCCATCTACCTCCCATTTTTTTTGCATTTAAAACTTTTTGGAATCGTAAAGAAGTGAAACAAACTTGATAGAATTTCTTAAACCAATTGCGTTGAACCATCTTAGACATTAAGATTTAAATCAAACCAGGAACTGCAAGAATGGCAGAAAAAGAAAAATATGTATGAAAATGTTTTTCAACTGTGTTGTAAAGCAATGCATGTTAAGAGAATATGCATACGTTATCATTCTTCAACAATTGTAGGCTTGTAGCAATCAAGCAACATATTTGGTACACTTTATGGTTTGTGTTATTCTTGTGTATGGTAGAGCCTAATATTGTGCCTCACATACTGAACATAAAAAGTATGACAATTATGAGTATACAACTGATTCCAGGTGGTGAATCTAACAAGACTTCGAAGACCTTCTTTCTCTACCGCAAGCTCGAATGAGAGGCGTCTTCCAATGATGGCAGATAATGTCCTTTATGATATGGATAGTACAACTAGTCCTTCATCTTCTGATTCAGATTGCTCCCCTGGTAATTGTCCTCAAAACTCCTATTATGAGAAGTCAGGACGCCACTGTTCAAAATAATAACTTT